GTCAAATTAATTATCATATAATTATCATATAATTTTTACAAACAAACAGGAAGATACAAATATGCATTCATCCCAAGTAAGAAACATTCTCAAATATATTTATTAATATTCATTTCAAATAAAGTGAATAAAAAATTTTTCAATTTACGTAGAAGGAAGAAGAGGAGCAGACAATAGAAGTAGTCAAATTAATTGTTACAGATCAGGTACTTACAGTATTTAATAACATCTATATAACATCTATAGATACCATTCAATATTAACATTCATTAATACTGATATATCACACTCAAACAGGAGGAACATTTTGATGAATCTATTTCTAATAATGATGAAAAATAAACACATTCTGCATCTGATCATTCAGATCGAATATTCTCATGTATAGCATATTGATTCATGGATATTGACAATAAGTGTAGTTTGGTATAATTACATGTATAATACATTTGGATGGTTTGTTTTATAAGTTGATCGTTTGTATAGTATATTATAAAAATTATTTTATTAAAAATGCTAATACTGGGTTAAACCAAAATTTCGATGTTACTCAACATCTAACATTAAAAAAAGAACTTTTTCATAACTGGTCGGTTGGTATCTGGTCATGTAACGGAAAAATTTTTGATGGTGGTTTGCTTTTCAACAAAACGAAAAAATTTTCTTATTAAAAACTTCACTGGTCAAAACTTATTCTCGTTGCAACGACAGCTCATTTATGAAATGAGAGTTGGGATTCAAATACAATGTAAATGGATACCAATATATATGAATGTCGTCATAACGAGAATGTAATGCATAAACAAAATTCAAACAAAACCTACCCCCTCAGTTCCCAAACATCCAATGAACTTTTTTGCTTTGTATACTTGGCTTCTTTCATTGCTTCTCTTTCCAAAATCATTTTCTTCAATTCATATACATACATATATATATATTTTTTTAAAAAAAAATAAATTTATTGCTTTTATTTGAATTACGAAAGAAACAGAGCATATATATATTTATTTATCCGATCAATTGTGCGGTAATTATAAAGTAATTATAAAGAAATACCTTTCGTTCTTCTAAAGATTTTGACTTTAATTGTATACAGAATTTAAGACTTTGCCATCGTTGTGAACAATCTTTTCGTTCACCATATCGGTAATAATTAATTGCCTGACCTCCTAGTGCTATTCTCTGTTGAGACATGTTGAGATGTATTTGCTTAAAAAAAAGAAATAGGCCAAATTCAGAATACTCACAATAACACATAACGAAATAATCGAGCTCCGCCGCTAAACTACAGTTATATTTATCATCATCTTGTGCCTTTGTTTCAAATATGTTATTATTGTCCGTTTGGTCGGTCATGGTAATTAAATACCAATATCGAATATTTCGAAATCGATATTAACGTTAGGTATTTATAGATGGGTGGCTTGGACAATTTGCGTAACTCAAATCAATTTACCCGGAAGCTTACATTGAATAAAGTTATGAACAAAGCAGAAACGACAACGTACGTACGTACGTACTACTTTACCGCTTGTCCATAAAAATAATTTTAAAATTAAATTAACATCTTATTAATTAATCTTATTTGGAAAAAACATTAAGTTGTTTGCATTTAAATATGGTCAAAGTAATAAAGGATGTAACCCACTCAATCATAATGAAGAATATGACAATTCGGAAAAACTTTAAGTCACCTGATAGAATTGGTTTTTGATTAATAGCTTTTCTTATTTTTAAAGAGATATTAGTGAATGAAACTCTGTCATAATTTTGTGTTAAGAAATTCTCGTAGAAAATTCTTGTAGAAAATTCTTTGAAGAATCAAAGAATCAAGTGATGGATGATTTGAATGACGTACGTACGTACGTACGTAGAAAATTTTAAAGTTTATTGTTCTGTATCACCTAAACAATTTATTTGGTTTTCAAGCCTCAAATATCGATATTGGCGTAAATTGATGAGAAAGTTGAAACTACATTTGATAAGTAGCATATATAGTTAATGTTCGATAAGCAATCCCTGACTTTTTTTGAACCCAAGTACAGTTAATGTACAGTACGTATTGGGGTGGTAAATCAACTAAGTAAATCAAAACTATGTAAGCAAACTATGGAATTTGATACATTACAGATTTTCA